GCAGTTTCATTCATTTTATACAGCTCCTTGTCTACAGTATAAGATTCTGGCAACTTTGGCTTTGCTGCTGGCTTTACATATTCTCTCAGACTTTGACATTCTAATGTACCAAACCTCTTGGAATCAATATCCTGTATGTTGCTAGATGAAATGCTTGGTTTGGATAACTTTACCATGGGTGAGTTTTGGAACAAAACGGTCACGGAGTCATGTGTGCCATTTATTCCACTCAATGTGGACTCTTCGTGATCAAAGTTATCAAGGGCACCTATTGTAAATTCTTGGGGATTTAGATTGCTTGGTAGTGGCATTCCCTTTTCATTGCTAGTTGCCATACTAAGCTTTGCCATATTCATGTGGTATTTGTCAAGCTCATTATAACTCATACAAATGCCCTGGTGATTTAAACATGTAATAAGTGTTTTACTCTTGCATGTTTGGTGGATCAATTCTGCATTCATAACAATAAGAGGTGATTTGACTTTACCATCATTTACGATATTATGAAGAATTTGAAAGGTTGTTACCACCTTTCTTGCCCTAGCACTAGAACCATTGCTGATTTCACCTTTATCTATGCTAAACAATACAGAAAAAAATGTCAACAAAGGTTCTTCAATATTGATAGCTGACCAAGAGTCCTCAAGATCGTTGGCATCCATGAACTTGTCAGCAAGTCCAAAGTCAAGTCCAATCAGCTGTTTTCTAAGTTGAGAGCTGCATGAAGTTATTGGGTCTCCATTATTTCTCAGTTCAGTGTGCTGAAAAAATATTACTCATTTTTAAATTGTGCCAATACAGTCTATCGCACACATAAAATATATAAGTATATGATATACCTTTTTCAAAATGATATAATTTTCTATAAAGTGATTTATATGCCTGGTGATGGAACATAATGAACGGAGGGGAATCAGCCCATTTTTAATAGAAAATTTAACAAGGCACAGTGTGAACAGAATCGCACCCTTGAATAGAATACAGTTTTTGTAACGGAACATCCAAAATGGCCACCCTAACCTTTACCCAGACTGCCTAAAAAACTAATCAGTTCTAAACTTTCATAGGTAGAAACATTCCTTAAAATTTCCAAAGAATCCATCAAATGGTTTGGCTGGAAACCTGAAGACAAGCCTTGACAGACAAGATTTAAGAACATAAAATCCAAAATTGCTGCCTTAACTTTTACCCAGAATGCCAAAAAACTAATCAGTTCTAAACTTTCATAGGTAGAAACATCCCTGAAAATTTCAAATGAATCCCTCAAACGGTTGGAGTGGAAACCTGTAGACAAGCCTTGAGACACAAGATTTTAGGACGTAAAATCCAAAATGGCCACCTTAACATTTACCAAGAATGCCGAAAAACTAATCAGTTCTGAACTTTCATAAGTAGAAACATCCCTGAAAATTTCAAATGAATCCCTCAAATTGTATACAGAAACCTGTATACAAGATTATTCGGGACGCCAAAAAATCCAAAATGGCCACCTTACCCCTTATCAAGAATGCCCAAAAGCTTATCAGTTGGCCAGGAAATGCATATAGACAAAACTTTACATGGCTGCCAAAGTGTCATAAAACAGTGTGCCATGCTCAGAACGTAAAATAACACGTGTCAAAATGGCGGCCAAATTGTCATTAGACAGGGAACTATGCTTATGAGTATTCACATATCAAATATGAACAAAATCGCTCTATTACTTTTTGAGTTATAGTAAAGGACATAAAATAACACGTTTAAAAATGGCGGCCATTTTCAAAATGGCCGCCTTCTAGCCAAAGTGTCATAAAACAGTGTGTCATGCTAATAAGTAGTCACATACCAAATATGAACATAATCGCTCCACTACTTTTCGAGTAATTGCAAAAATTGTAAAATAGCACGTAAAAGACGCCATTTTCAGGTCTAGCTTGACTAATGTCCTATAGAACTTTTTACATTTAAAACACATTGCTATTACAGTTCTATACACTGTACCTAAATAACTGTCAAATCGGCACTAAAATGGCCACCATTTTGAAATGAGCGGCCATTTTGAAAATCAGCTTTCGAGCAGGACTTCTACCCCCATAGTGCACATGTATTGTTCAATTTTTTAGATGTTGATGTGTTTATGTTATATAATTAAGTTTTTATACAGGATGTCCCAAAAAAGTGCCACAAAATACATATATAATATATGTAGTTTTGTGGCATTTTTTGGGACACCCTATGTTTCAAAACATCATAAAGTTTTTGTAAAACTAATTAAATATAGTCTGGTTTTGTTTCATACAAAATTCAGATATGGATTTTGAACTAATGGTTTCATGAAGAGAGTTATTAATATCATGGGATAAAAAGCTTATTTACTGAGAGGGATTCAATATGGGTTTATAATGTGAAAATATGGGCCCTCAGGAAATATCATATTGTCCCTTGGACGGAATAAACCCCATATTAAATCCCTCCCACTTAAATGGAAAATTGTGCTGAAAGTTTTGCTTCGTTCAAAAATCTTTCAAAAATTGAGTGTTTCTAAGTACTTGGAAGCATCACAGATTTTAAATTGGATATGGCAAAATTTATGGTCGATTTAAATTAAAAAATAATCATTGGACTGTGCCAGTCAGCTTTTGTACCATACTGGTTCATTTCTGCTAGCTGCATGTACCAAGGGTGTGAAAGTGAAGTCTTCTTAATTATGGGAGCAGTTTCATGAACTTTATGGAATAAATTTTTCTAATTTTACAAGAATTCAATTTATAGAGGTTGTTCTTTATGATAGAAATTTTGATCCAATCCTCGATAGAGTCACATGTTATTTTTAAGAAAAATCAGTTAGAAAATCCAGAAAATTTTCACAAAATGTTCTCACTGAATTTTCTAGTTTTTTTTATATATTTTATCAAAAAAATCTTCTCTTAACAGTGTTTCCTAGGTACATTAGTGCACTCTTTGTGCAAAACTGAAAGATGAAGACAATTTTGGGAAGGCGTGATTGATATCTAAAAATTAACATGTGACTCTATGGAGGATTGCATCAACATTTTTATCATACAGAATTACCTTAACATACAGGGTGTCAAATAAGTCCCGTCCCCCCCTCTACAGCCAAAACCAAGATATATGGTATCAAGTGTGATATATCATTGGATAGATTGTCCAAAGTTACGTTGATTGGCATATAGCTGAAACCTGTCAATCAATGTTACAAATTGCTACATTGTATCAATTGAGGTGACCATAGACCTAAAAACATGGCAATTTTACATATTTTAGGCAGGATTTTTAGAATCGGGCATCAGAAGTCAAAGGAACCCAAAATGTCAACATTTTGTGTTTGGCTGTAAATTCAACCAATTTCTGCATAGGGTTATGTGTGTAGAAAATAGAGGGGTGAGGATAGTGATAGTGAAAACTCTTTGGTAACAGGTGGAATGCCAATATTTTTGAGGTCAAATCCTTCTCATTTTGGCGCAAAAAGGGCCATTGGAAGAGAGTACACTAACTATAAAGGATACTATCAAAATATAGATAAAGAACAGGTCCATTTAACAGACTATTGGTCCACTTAGACTTTTTCTGAAAAACTCATTCTTCCATTTACTTTTAAAACCGATTGCAAGTTGTAGATAAACCTTTCTTCTTGAGATGTGCAATTTCAAAAAGTGGCATTAGTTCTCCGTTTCTTTGAAAAATTGGCAGTAAGAACCCCTATCACAAGGCTGTCTGAATATGGGTACACATTATGTTTACCATCAAAATAATATCAAAACTTATCATTATATAGAATTTAATATATGGAACATATGGCATACAAGTATTCGGAGAAGAAAATTGACAAAATCAAGCGATGTATGTAGTTTACCTATGGAAATCTAGAAAACATTGTCATTTTTCGTTCACTTTGTTATCAGGTTTTAGCATGGTGCTCATTCCCTTTCATTGAAAAATTAACGGTCAGCCCACAATCCCACAAAAAATGTATTGAAACTGTATAATGCAGAGACTGTAAAGTAACTTCTCTGCAAATATCATTTTTGTGGGAGTTTGGGCTCACCACTAAAACTTAACTTTGGTGATGAAAATAAGCCTGACTGGTTTATGGTTTCAATATGGCTGCTAACCTGGGCATACAGATGTACACTACATAACTGCATGTACAGATTAGGCCATCCAAAATTAATTATATGTTGGCATTCTGATGAAGAGCCTTATATTAAAAACTACAAAACCTTCATTTATTTAAAGGGTTTTATATATTATTTAAGAGTGAAAATGCAATAAAACATTGTGCCAAAGCAAGTAACACACCTCTTGAGTTCAGATGACCTTGTTAATGAAGTTTATATACATGTAGTTTTTAATCAATCTTGGAACTCATTTCGCTACAATATAATCCAAGATCACAATTCCCTTTGTCATTTATATACATTACAAGTAGAGAGTACATGGGGACATTTTGTTTTTCTGAAAACATAGAATTTAGTGACATTATTATAAGAAAATATTTGAATGGCCTGAGTGTTTTTCTAAATAGGGAATAAGTAGAAATTATTTTAGGCAATCCTTTGAGTGTCATGCCATTCATACATGATGCTGCCTTATATTTTATGATATATATTGAGAGAGGATTTCTCTGAATTATTTGTGTTTCAAATATGGGAACTGCAAATTGGCAAATAACTTTAAAAGTAAGTGTACATTCAAACATTTTAATTTCAAATGCCAAATAAAATGCCAAATGCCAATGGGCATTTAGTAAAAGTGACCCTATAACTATTTAGAATATGGCAAACATGTTTAGAAAACTGGCGAGAAGCAATTGAAATAAGAAAATCCATTCTTTTTGAAGTGTCCTTGTGTGCATTTAATTTCAGTCATTTTATACTAATTGCCCATGGGCATTTAAAATAATAATCACATCTCAACTCTTAAAACATGCTTAAGATACTGTTAGAGTCTCAAAAGGCAACAAGAGCAATCCTTTTTGAAACAAGAAAATTTAGTCCCCATAAAGATGCCCATATCGGTATTTATTCTCAAGATTTTCAGGTAATTGCCCGTGATAATTTATTAAAAAAAGTTTTATTTCTATTCACATGTCTTTTTATCAGTCACAATCAAAATAAAGCCAATTGCTCTCATTTCTTGGATTAGAAACAGAAAAATTTTGACAAAAATAGCAACTCTCAAAGTTGACCTTTAAACCACCCTAGTGTCAAGGTCAAATGTCAAAACTCTCAGAAATCACATTTTAAGTAATGAGTCATACTTCCTCTTCAATTCCATGTCAATATATACTTGTTTTGTAGGGGGGCTAAAAGAGGGGTTTACCGCCACCTGTCCTTTCATCCAAATTACTTGAGAGTTGGTGAGTTAACGTAACTTTGGATGATCTTTCCAATGGTATATCACACTAGGTACCATCTATTAAGGTCTTGGCTGTAGAGGGGGGGACGGGACTTATTTGACACACTGAATAAGTACTTTTAAATTATAAATGATTAATTACCAATTTTACAGCATCTATCTTGCTTGCCAGAAGAAAATCCTGAGACTGCCTCTTGCTGTGCTTTATAAATGTGACATCTTCACCAAATCGCTTACGCAAATATTTGGTGACAAGTTGCCCTTGAACAGGGCTACGTCGAAGGCGGTCACCGATCTCTTTGCAAATCTCTGATACAGAGGAGGCTTTTCCTGTATTCAAGTCTTGTTGAATTTCATTGATGACATCATTAAATACATCATACATATTTGATTTATCATGAAGAGAATTTGAATCAGTACTTTTCTGGTATTTATGGCTGTATTGTTTGTAACAATAGTTATGGTATAAGAGATCAGCTTCAATCACTCCTTTCACATCAGTGAGGTGACAGGTGCTGGTATACACTTCATCCTTTAAGTGTTGGGTTTGTACAAGAAACTCGGTAGCTTTCTTCTCTTCAGAAATTCGGGATTTTTCATATGTTTTGTTTTTTGTGACCTGATTACAATATATACAAACATTCTGGTATTTAGGTACATCAACAGCTTCAACAGAGGGCCTTTGTGGTAGGGAACATTTCATTTGTTTGGGTTGTGCTGTTGACGAATGAGGTGTATTTCCAACCATTCCTTCAATGGTTTCTTCAGTATCAGTTTCAGTTTCTTCAGTTTCTTCATTCCTTTGTGGAAGGGAACATTTCATTTGTTTGGGTTGTTCTGTTGAGGAATGAGGTGTGTTTCCAACCATTCCTTCAATGGTTTTTTCAGTATCAGTTTCAGTTTCTTCATTCCTTTGTGGAAGGGAACATTTCATTTGTTTGGGTTGTGCTGTTGAGGAATGAGGTGTGTTTCCAACCATTCCTTCAATGGTTTCTTCAGTATGCCGTTTTTGGGTGTATACTCTGTAGCAAGCATTGTTCATGTGATATAGAATAGGTGCGTTTTCAAGTTTGGCTACTTTCATACGTTGATAAACTTCATCATCTTTCATTTTGCTTATTCTAAGCAAGGTTGCAACACCTCTTGCTTGTCCCACAGTTGGCTTGACAACATTGCTGTTACTGTCTTTAAAATCATCTTGGCAGATAATACATTTTCCTCTTTCAAAGTTTATAGAAGCCATTTAGGAAGGTAACTGGAGAAGAAATAGATTGTTAGTGATTTTAAAATATTCAATCTCTGGGTCTCAAAAATACAGTCACAATTCAGGATCATGCATAGTTTATCATGTAACTGGGTTCATTTTAGTTTTTAACGTTAATTCGTTAATCCATATGCAAGGAAATTTGACTTTCAAAGAAAAGCTGGATGTGATCATATGTTTTATTTTCCTAGACACCAACTTACATTCTATATTAGAAATAATTTGAATCATTCTAAGTGATCATAATTTTAATTCTTCTATTTTGTCGAAGATGAGCAATCTTTATATCTTAAATAAACCTTAAGCTTACTTACTTTAATCACATTTTAATAATTTTGTTTCCACCAATTCAATACATGTTCATCTGTAGTCTCAAATATATACTAAATACAAAAACAGAGGTTAGTCAATAAGTCAATTATAGAGGATTACTGTTTTAAACAACCTTCATGCTAATAAGATGTAAATTACCCCAAAATTAGCTGCCATGGCTTTTAACAGGAGTTTCAGTTTTGAGTTTGATATTAACTTATGATGGTATAAATATAATATAAAATTAGATCTAACTCCATTTGGGTGGGATAGATTGAAGGATCATTTTTTATTTGAAAAGTGTAGATACATCTTTTGAGAAGCTCTAATTTTATACAAAATGTTTCTGGCAAAAATTACCTGTAAAATAAAATATAATTTATTCTAAAAGTGCACACTTATGGAAATGATATGATTAATAGATGTTATACTCTATTAATACAAAGAAACTCAGGAAAAGCTTTTCATACATTCATTAAGTACCGTGTTGTATTTCCAGAAGTTGAGTCTTTGATATAATAAGGGGTGTATATCAAACACAGAATAATTAAATAATAATAATGGGCCAAAACCAAAATTCAGCCCTACAATTACTTCATTCATATTCTCAAAAATCAAAATGTATTTGTTTGTACTTGTTACATCATATAAGGATTACCTTAGAAATAAAAAAAGCATATGTATTTGGTAATATGTAAAAACTGATATTTTGTCAAATTTCTTCCACTTTTACAAAAAAAATTTTTTCTAAAGTTCCCATGTCCCACATATATTAATTTGATACTGCATCATATGTCCCCTTTATGGTTCTAATTATTACACCAATAATAACAATTTTATCTACCATAACAGCCTCAGAATAAAAAACTTTATAAGGTAGACCCTTGATTATAGGTGCCGCTTCTGTATATTTGAGGCAAAATGACCCATCAAATGACCTTCCAGGATCACCTAAAAATTCAAATGCATAGTTTAGGAAGTAGTCTCTAAGGAAAAAGCAAAAAAATAAATATGAAATTAGGTTTGGCTGAAAAAAAAATTAATTAAGATTATCACCCTGCAACTTTAAAATCACTAGATGGCGCCACTATAACCTGCCATAAAAATTGATTTTACCCAAACCTGGAAAAATAACTTATGGATTCCTACACTTCAGGGTATCTACTAAAAGAAAATCAAAAGTTATTTCATTCTAAATCCGAGTAAGCTCAGAGAGGCTAGGGACAGGATCACTTAGCTTATGAGAAAGAGATGTTAATGCGAAATATAAAAATTCTTGGCAAGGATAAAATTGATGATTACATACCAGAGTAAGGCGTTTCAGAGCATTAAATCGATCATCCTGAGCTGCCACTGTTTTTTCAAAATCAGTGTGTCTTTTTATCATCTCTTCTACTTGAGCAATGGAGTTGCCATAGTTTTTGTCATTTAGGATTCCTTCTCTACTGTTCATCCAGGCTTCTAATTGCTCCATTTCTCGCAACAGGATCTGAAATCATTACATTTTTAATTTGTAAGAAACATCAATTAAATGTTTATTTGAAATAAGTAATCGTTCAATGCAAATAGTGACTATATTGGTTACTTACTTTTCCAAATGCTCACTGTTCAGTACAAAGACTGATTACTCAATACAAAGGTTGATCATTCAGTACAAAAACTGATTATTCAGTACAAAGACTGATTGTTCAATACAAAGACGTATTTTCAGTGCAAAAGCTGGTTATTCATTATACCTGTGCATCTAGGTTCTGCTCATAGAGGTCTCTGCGCTGTTGCCATGTCTTCAAAAGGTTCACCTTGGCACGATCTAGACTCTCAACCTTTTCTTGAATCTGAATTATATCCATGTTGAAATATTTCCATATTTCAATATCTATACAATATTTATGATATTGAAATCTATTTCTATTTAAACCTGATTTCACATTTATATTTTTAAGCCCTGAATAAAAATCACCCAATGGATAGAAGGTAATCTTAGGGGCTGCCTAATCTGACATATTTCAAGATTTCAAAATATTAGCTTTTCAAAGTGATAGTTTTAAGCAACATAATTTCAGAAGAAAAATTGTTAAATAATTTGGATAATCTCATGTTTATTTACCTCATCGGATAAAAAGTGTTTGTTGGCAATCAATTTCTTGCCAGTCTCAGTGAATCTTGAGAATGCATCCATGTGTGCGTCAATTTCAGCTTTATGTTCTTTGTTTTTAGTGATCAGAGCCTCAGCTCCTGGGACATCTTGAGCTAAGTTGTCAGTAGTGATTAGAGCCATCATTTCATTACACCAGGCTCTACAAACACATGAACAGTACAATAAATCAACTTTTATCTATCTTATTAAACAAGTTTTTATTATTACTTGAGGCTAACAGGTGGTAAAAGGCAGAGAAAGGGCAAGCTACTGCACATAAAATTACTCACATCATTAACAATAAGAAGGTTAAGAAGATAAAATGATTACAAACTACACAACTAAACAAAGTAACTAAATAACACATAACTCAAACAGCAATGAATGATCACAACCATGAGTAACTACAAGAACATGTACAAGTTACAATACAACAATGCCAAACTAACTCACATTAGATCCCTATAATCATTGAAGTACATCTGTAACTGCTCAGCCTGCTTTAACTTCAGGTTCCTCTGGGCTGTCTTCTCTGTTAACTGTTGGTAGTCACTTATCATGTCCTCCTGTTTTGTCTTGATGTGCTCCTGGGCATCAGGGAATGTGTTACATAGTCTGCTAGCCTCTTTGGTGATGGTACCGACTTGCTCACCAATGGCAGCTACATCACCCTGAAGCGGAACAATACTTTGTAAAAATAGCTCGGGGAAGATAAGACTACAGGGTGACACAAAAATACAAGAATATACTGTATTCTGGAATTCATGTCACCCTGTACAAACACAATCTAAGTCATCATCCAAAAGAGAACAATCACTCTTTTTTATTATTCATATATTGATGACTTTCCAGAACTCAAAAATGATTTTGCCATTGTCAGTTCTCCATTTGTATTGTTATGTTATCCTAAGAAATGTCTTACCTCTGCACCATGATGACGTGAGACAAGGGTCTGTACACTCTCTAGATCATGGCCATAGTCCTCTGAAGACATCCAGCCATCTTTCTCTAGTACCCAGTCAATAGCGTCATCTGCATCACGGTCAAATGTATGCACCTAAATGTACAAATCAAACTAAAGATTCTTGTTTTTAACACAGGGTCATATCTACATTGACTCCATTAATAATTCAATAGACTTTTTGAAATTACTTCAAACAAATATTTATTTTGCACAATGACATCATAGTGGCGATGTTTTCAAATGAAACATAGTGTGAAAAACTGTGATCAACACTCCAAAATGTATAGAAATGCAAGAAAATTAAATTATGTCATTCAAATTTTAAAGAGAAATTGAGCAAAATAATCACGAGCAGACGGACATTTTCAAAAAATCATTACCTGTTTAGCACCTGCTAGAGCCTCCTGTCTGCTTAGTGACAGTTCCTTAAGCTCTACCCACATTTTATTAATCTCATCACAACGTCTTTGGATTGATCTTGATTCACTGTGACGCTCAGTTGTCAAACTATGAGCCATATTGTTGATATTTGTGATGCGATCCTCGTTTGCGTTTAAGTCACGGATGAAATCATCAAACTTTTGTATTAGCACCTGTAACATGAGAAGTCAAGGTCAAGTTAAATTTCTGGGGTTCTTATGGTTGATTATTTATAAACTGAAGATTCCGAGACTTGGCCAATCAGAGCCATCTATTGAAAATATATCTTTGGATAGTTTTGCGAATGATGGTTATGGAGAAAAGTTATGTGGGATCTTTAAAATCAGAATGGTTTGTTTTCACACATACTTTCGCTTAATCTCAAAATGTATCTATTTACCTCGACGTGTTCCAAATCTTTCCCATAATCCTCAGAGGCAGCCACAGCTTCACGCTCTCGTATCCATTGTGCGACATCGTCAGCTTCTCGCATGTAGTCAAACAACTGTTTGTTCTCAATAAGACGCTCCCGTCTAGTGTGTGCATGACTCTGAAGCTCTCTGTATTTGGTCTCAATGCTTGCCTAGAAAGATCAAAATGTCATTGTGGTCAAGTTTTAAAATTCAAAATAGAGTGGAAAAGAGTGGAATTATCAAGGAATAAAGTAAACATACATGAAGTAAACACTCTAAATTGTATAGAAATGCAAGAAAATCAGGTAGTTCATTCAAATTTTAAAGAGAAATGAGTGAATTAAGCATGAGCAGACGGACATTTTTCATTCTCTGACAATATGGTTGAATATGAAACATTTGAATAGCCTCAAATAGTTTAAACATATTATTTCCATCCTAAAATAGATCTTTTTTTAAAAATAAATCTTGAATCAAAAACATTTAACACAACTAAAAATTTATAAATATTTATGTAAATGTATGAAAACATAAGGAAATTCTAAGCTAAGCCAATATTCATGTTTTACCTGTTTTTGTTCAATATTAGGGCTATCAAAGTGTCCTCTCTCTATGAGTCCCCTACTGAGAGCAGCCAGTTCACCAACACTGTTATTGTAGTTATCAATGTCTAACTCAAGGGCATCCAGTTTCTTCAGATGTGCCTAGAATACAGAAGTATATGAATTAATTTGAAGTACGTGTGAAATTTCAATGAATTTGTGTTTATTTGCAATATTCTAAATCTATGTTCTTAATTAATTTGGTAGCTAGTTGATTGACAAAAAAGTTTGTACAATATCATTTAGGACACCTTCCATTTCAAGAAAAGTGAGGTTGCACACCCATGATATTATAGCTACAGTAAAACCTGTCTAAGTGGAATGCCTTTAGTACAACTTGAAAGTGTTCAACTTGTGAGGTGTTCCACTTATAGAGGTTCATATAACATTACATCAATTGGTCTTCTTACTTGAGAAGTGTTCCACTTACACCACTTCTAGATGTGTTCCACTTCACAAGTTTCATTGTACATGTAATGCAAGGAGTTACAGATGCAAGGAGTTGCCCCGTAACTGAATTAATTGATGGGGTTTGAAGAACCCATGGAATCAAACAATTACTTTACCTGTACTGAATCTTCATCTTTTCCAAGGTCTGGGTTGGTGACCAATGGCAACCGTTCCTTTATCCAAACCTCAGCTTCAGTCACCTCAGCATAGAACTGGAATATAAAACATGTATCAGTGAAATGTTTAACTTGAAAAAATTCATTTCAAAAGTTTATGAGGTTATATAGTATGATAAAGATGCAGTTTGTTTCACAGTTTTTGATAATGAAATTTTTTTTATTGATGAACTGGAAAATATTCAACATTAAAAAGTTCTTGGGCATCGTCAATTGCATCTTTCAAGTGCTTATTCAAGATTCCTGTGCCATGATAAAGATGTAATATATCAATCTAAAGTGTGAAAAGCATAATATGCAACAATTCATGTAAGATATCAATAATATTTGTGAATATATAAGAATTTTTGTGATGATGTAATTTATTAAAAATATTTTGTGACTGTGACATGCATCGTGACTGATATTTGCGATTCACAATATGTATTCATTCAGTGATTTTATTTGATGAGTAAAATATGCAAAATCAACATTATAATTATATGTAGAGATGAGCTAACTGAGACGTCATGTCCATTTAATATCATGCCCTCTGATGGTAAAATATCAACCAATCAAAGCCTTAGAATTCTCAATGTGAAATTGACTGGTGATTGACTATCGAAAATGAAGAACAATGTATACACTCAAAAATGTTCAGAAGTGTGATAAAATTAGTCTCCTCATTCAAATTTAGGAGAGGAAAAGCGTGAAATGTCCATGACCAGTGAGACATCGTAGAATATATAGAATTTACATTTAAACCTTGGATTACCTTAATACTGTCTATCCACATATTGCCTTCTCGCTTATACACTGAGCATGAAAACTTCCAGAAAATATACATCATTTTAAAGCCATTAATCATTATCAATGAAGAATTTATTTAAAATCACAAGTAAGTCTCATTATAATTGCTAACACTCATCCCTACATAAGACAGTTCACATGTTCAAGTAACCTACATAGATATGTGAGTTAAGTTGCTATGTGCTTATGTGAGGTTGATTGTTAGCAAGCATGAATAATGAGATGAAATACAATAGATGGGAATACAAATGAGCAGCATGAAGTTTTCATGATAAAAATTCCTCACCTTCTGTGATTCAACTGCGTCGAGAAGTTTTAATCGTCTCTGAGCGGCTAATTCCTTTAACTGTTCAACTTGACTTTGTAGATTTTCGAGTTTCTGTCGTACATTGTCTGCAGCGTAATGTTTCGTCTCTATCATATGATGGGCAGTGTTGGCGACAGACTCAATAAGAGGCTCATGGGCTACTATCTCAGACTCCAAGGCCTATGAAAAACAAACAATTGAATTTGAATCAAATATGGCATATCTCAATCCTATTTTCCTGGTTGGCCCAAAAGTAGGTTTACAGTTACAGTTAACAGATTGTTGAATAACTGTAAACCTCCTTTTGGGTCACCCTGCATACTGTAATCCACTCTCATACATATCTAAAATCAGTGTAGGATATTTTATTTTCTTTGTTGATATTTATTACATTTTACGACACATATCTCATAATTTAGTACAGTATGATGGATTTAATTTTTTCATTTTTTGCATAGCATCCGACTTACTTGGTGTTTTTTCTGCAGATTCTGAACAGCCAATAAGCTTGTTCCGAGGTCTGTTGAGGCTGCTATTGGTTGTTTCTCCTGAATCCATGAAATTTCATCTTGTACGTCACGGTTAAACTGATACATAAGTAGCGCATCATCCAAATTATCGCGTCTGATTTGACAGGGCTCGGCTAAAGATTGGTATCTGAAGTGCAGACCAGTATGTATTAAATCATTTCCAAAAGTTTACACTTTTCATAGAACAATGATAACGTGATTGCAAATGTTAAATTAATTTTTTACATTTCTATATTAGATTCACGATACATCAGTTTTCTTCGCACAAAACAGCAATTTTTATTCTAGTCAAGCCTAGTCTATTTTTCTCAGCTTCTCTTTAAAATTTGAATAAACAGCCTAACTGTCTTGCATTTCTATACAATTTAGAGTGTTAACTACATGACTGTTTACTTTATTCCTAGCTATTCCCAAACTTTCCCACTATGATTCTCTCTAAAATTTGAATAAACTGCAATTCTATACAATTTAGAGTATTGACTACATGCCTGTTTACTTTATTCCTTGCTAATTTCACTCATATGTCTTTAATTTCTCATTTAAATATATAGTGTAGTTTTCTCACCTTGCATTGGTTGTCTGTGCTCTGTGTTTTAAGTCTTCCTTCAAGAAATGGTTCTTTGCCATAAATTTCTTTGAAGTTTCGTTTATATCTTTCATCTTATCTTCATGATTGGCGATGTCTTGGTCTAAGAGCTGTATTAGACAGAAGTTGTGTATCAGATGTGTGTTATTTTCTCAAAAATGAAGATTGTTCATTTCAGAAAATACTTCTGGGACAACCCTCGTATGTCAATATCAATATTATTGCGTTTTAAGAGTGAAGGAGAGCATCTACTTTTTCTATCTATTTCTCCATTTATATGATGTGATAATATATCCAAACATAGGTGTCAGTTGCATGTATATTTAAAATGATTCATATCTTATACGAAAAAAAAATTATTTCTATTCAACAAACTGTACCTGTAACTTTTTCAATAGATTGTTGACACTGGTGATGTCTTTGCCATGGTCTTCTGATGTCAGCTGACCCTCGACGTCATCCATCCAGTGTTCCATGTCATCTACTTGGTGATTAAACTGGGATGCCTGGTGAAGCAAACAATTAACTGGATTAAATTTAATACATAAGGTTAATGAGGTTAAGCATGAGTAATCATTACTGATAAGTGGTTATACAGTATATGCAGCAAATATAGGAAAATTGTTTGTATATAAGAAACAGCAAGGGACTCTGATGCTAGGAAAATATAATTAATAAAAATCATGAATGAAAAAATCATTATAGTGAATTAGATCATAGACATGCATCCAAAATGGAAATAGGTAGATGAATAAATAGAAGTATAAGGGACTCTTGGTTAAAACAACTGGCAAGGTTAACCCCATTCTGGGGGAGACAGTTAAACTTCATATAAAAATGGTACAAAATCAAGAAAATCACTTATCACAAAAGTAAAATCTTACTTGATATGCATCTTGGAGTTTGTCTCTCTTCTCCACATTTGCTGCTTGTAGTCTCTTCCAGACTTCATCCAGATCTTCTAGGGCTTCCTTAATGTTGTGGGCAGAGTAGTGATTGGCCTTAATGAGGTCTTCACCCTCCTAGAGAATTACATAACAAAATCAGTCACCTCGCTATAAGAGTAAATGGGTGTTGCAACTTGTTGAAAATTATATGCAACCATGTTGAAATTCTGACAGCTATTTGGATAAAAATTATAAAATGTATGGAAATAACCCAACCTAACATTGTATATCCTTTACTGACAATATTACGTTGATAAATGTCTCACTGGAGCCATGGATTTGGTTTTGATTCAGCCCTGGCCCGATGTACAACAGGACAATAGCCGAAAGTAAGAATAAGGTTCATAATTCTCTCAAACATTTGTTCAGAGTGACCCGACTCCGCTCTCTAATCCACAAAGTAACCATTATTTGCAAAATAGAGATTGAAAGACAGACACCTCTAAAAATTGGTTTTACTTCGGCTCCTGCCCTGATGTATAGTAATGGGACAGAAACCTGAGTGAAATCTTACCTTATTCACTGCATCAACACGTTTCTTATTGGCCATCACTTCTGCTTCAAATGCTTGGTGTTTCTGTATTTTGCCCTGAAGATTAGTGGGATCCCTCCAGGATTCATCCATCGCAACCTGACTTTTCTCTCCAATCCATCCGGTCACCTGTAATTGCAAATAATGTATGTGCAAATGTTTGGTTTTACTTCAGCTCCTATCCTAATGCACATACAATATACCCTGAGCGAGTAAAAGGGTACTACTTAGAGATATCTCATACTTGGCCATCTAACCATCCAGTCATTTTTATTACACAAATGACAATCATTTTAATTACTAATTTGCTTCAGGTAAGGCACAACATCTTTGAGCATACAGAGAAATGATCAATACTAATCTGTTAAAAAACTAATGCTGATACAGTACAAAAGCTTCAATATTAGAAAACATTTAACACAAGTGAATCACAAGATGAAATCTCAAATACAACTGCCATTTAAATCCAATTCAACGATCAAAATCTGCCTTTTTGCTACTTACATCATACAAATCTCTCAAGAAGTTTTGATATTTCTGCGAATCCTCCAATTTTTCTCGTCTCAGTTTTGACGCAGATACTAAATTATTGCGTCGTTCAATAACAGCTTCACAACCTGATTGAATCTCCTCTGACGCATAATGATCTTGAACTAACAAGTCTTTAGCATATTGTTCCAAAGTGTCTATTTTCTCACTCTGAGCATTGAGTGTCTTTTCAAAGTTGTCATGTTTGCGTAATAAAGCATCTACGGATGATAGCGAGTTCTGAAATGGTAAAATTTAAAGAGTTAGGATATGCATGACTATTGCGGTAAAAATTTTCCTTGTGCAAAAAATAACATTATAATCATTAGAACACTCGAAATGAAGAGATAGGAAGTGTTGAAAAAATTAAAATGTATCATATCTTTGTCATTTCAGAACTTTGGCTGGCAATTTTTCCCTGATGTATCACTTTCACTTAAACACAGATATTTGATTATTCTTTCAGAATGACTTTACTTACCCCGAGATCTTCATTGGCCAAAAAGGCCTCCTTACTAGCAAGCCACACATCAGCCTGTTTAGCATACTCAATAAACACTTGTAGATCTCGTCCCTGCGTCAACATATTCTTTCTGTCTTCCCACGCCTCGTTGACGGCAAACTGCATCTCGTCAAGATTACCCAGCATTGCTTGGATTTCCTCCGAAGCGTAATGATTCTTATTAATCAGATTCATCCCAGTTTCTTTGAGCAATCGGAAGTTTGAGGATCGTCCGTCAATTTCAGCTTTACGCTCTTGGTGTTCCTCTAGCATGTTTTCAGCTTCTGAGATTGTGGTGGGAAGTTCTCCCATTGTCATGTGGTTGATCATTTTTTCACACCAGTCACACTGTAATTATATGTCAACCAAAAATAATCATTTGCAATGCTTTGGTGGGCTTTTTGACTTTAAGTCTTTGTACATAATTGTTTGAATATGTGGTATGGTTAAATGGATTGTTATAAGACTGATGACATTTTTGTCTCCAAGTTACCCTATTGGTAGATAGAATTCAAATATCTAAGTATGTAAAGAAAATTATTTCACTCACCAATTCCCTTGCATCAAACAGGAATTTCTGTAGCTGATGAGAAGCTTTAAGTCGTAATTCTCTGGCATCAGATAGATCTTCTAGCCTCTCCCAGTTGTCCATAACCTCTTGTTGTTTATTGTGTATCACCTGCACATTGTCTGGATACTTCTTTGATAGCTGGTGACCAAGCTCTTCCAATTTCTGAAATGAGTTTATGGTTTTACTTCGGTTCCTGCCCTGATGATATACAACGGGACAGGAGCTGGAGTAAATGCCTTCCACATGAATTTAATACCATACAACTCTTATTTTTCCCTTTTATGGATCACATTAAAATTGTTGGGATACTTTGCCAACTAAACCTTAGAATATTCATATTCACACCTGCTAATCTGAACACTTGACTGGCTTAACTGGTGTAACTATATTACCTTTATTTGACTGTTTATGACTGTCATGTCTCTCTGTATCTCTATTTGCTTTCTCTGTAAAGACTCCACAGCAGTCAGATCTTTTCCATAATCCTCTATGGACAGCAAAAGGGCCTAGAAACATAGGACCATTTCGATCAGTCATATCCTAACTTTCAAATTATGTAATCTTTGCAGTTTATGTCTAAACGAATATACTTAGTTTATATGTTTTAAGTGTTTATGTTTTATCTATTTTAAAACCATCAATTCCATGAAAATAAAATAAAATAAAAAATAAAAATATTTGTTCTCTTTAATTCACACCTCAGGTGATGCTTGTCAAAGTTAATAGGGTTTCCCTTCTGAAGCCATCATTGGTTTCTCTTGAAAGGTCGTGATGACATCTAATTGCACAGTCTCACATATTAAAGTGTGTACTTTATTTTTAAAATTTTCAGTTACCTTTTCATTGATTCTTTCATTGATATCATCAGCATCGCGATTGAATGCATGAATATCTAGCGCCCCCTCTAGTTGGACTTTGTAGTTATTTAGGGATCCTTGTAGAGCATTCCAATTCTGGTTGACGCCATCTTTTTTCTTCTGGATATCTTTTGTCTCTGAGCGGCCCTGGTGGATCAGGCGATCTCCTTTTGACAATTAAAGAAATTAAGATTAAAGAATTATTAAAGTTTTATATACTTGATATGAAAAAATTCAAAAAATAAAAAATGTACAATATATAAATGGTTTTGGTCAGTATTATTTTAATTGACAAGTTGATAGAAACGCAGCCTCATTATAGTCATATTGCATCTCAAAATCAAAAGTCTATGCCATGTACATCTAATTATTAACATTCTCAACCATCGCAAATACTCGCAATTCATCTCAAGATTGCAAACTAAAGATTTGAACATAAAAGCTTCCTCTCAAATTTTCATCATAATATTATGCGCATATTTCATCATAAACTAACCTAATTGGTTGATACCGCGTACAGTTTGTTCATCAACGACAGCATCTGCACCAACATCATTGACTTTCTTCTGTAGCTCCAAGCAATGTTCATAATCTCTACCTAGATCTCCAGCATTTACCAGTAGCTCCTGTTGACAGATGTACAGACATTACATTTCATTTTTTACTTCAATTTCATCTAATCTATTCTATCTAATAGACTTATAAATGTAAATATAACATATTTAAAGGAGTATAAAATTGGTGCCATTAAGTTGAAACAATTTGATTTATTATAGAAGGTACATAAATTATTTAGCATTCAGGGTTCAGGCTTTTAGCAAGTAAACAATACACTTAAATCAAAAAAGAATATATATTGAAAAAGATTTAATCTTAACATCATATTTTTTAGAATTTTTTTTCAAAAATTCTAAAGCATTGCCTAAAGGATGTGTCTGGGTATATGCCCTTTTGGTCCCTCAGTCAAATGTATGTGAAATATGGTTTTTATTACTGTCCTAGTTATATCTGATAAGTATATTTACTTTTTCATGAGTTTTGATGCATAATTAGCCCCCTGCTGAGAGTCAGAATAAGTAGCCTAACAAACAAAAAATAGTCATTATTATAGAAAAAAACACACCAATGGCAACATGTATGACATACAAAGAAGAAATAACTTAAGACCCATGAAGAATTAAAAAGAAAATTATACTTTTGAAATATATTTAAGGATTAAATTTTTTTTCAAATTTTTGAATTTCCCGCCAGTTTAATTTGAAGGGGGAAAAACAAGATGGCTGCCATTTGATATAAGAAATATCAGAAAAAAGTTGCTTCACTTTTAGTTTTCACAATGAGCACAGTTTTCCGGTTTGGGTTTTTTGACTGAATCTGACTCTTCATCACCAGGGTCATGTATAGGGATTATAAAATTGAAACCAAAATGTTGTGCTCAGCATGAATTTGACTGAAATATGTGTAACTTCACCAACACAATTGAAGTCTCAAAACTGGATGCTCAGTAACTTTGAGTGACTATAATCCCTTGATTACCCAGATAAACACAAATTCACTTATCCAGAAATACCATTCAATGTCTATACAAAGAAAATAAGCAATGTTTTGGAGGATATGTTTCAAACTTTTTGTATAAATAATTCATTTAATATTTGCCATTGATTTTTTTTCAATTCTGACAAAGTGATATGCACTGTCTTTGATGCCAATATTCTTCATCAATTGTGATACAAATTGATATTTTAGTAATCTCAGAAGAAGGATAAGATATTGAAGTTTAATAATATGTGTGATTGAGTTGGTTTTTCAGACATTACAATTTTCAATATTTTCTAAGTTGATACCCAGACTCATTCCCAGACTCATCCTTTGTGGCATTTCTATACATGCGAGTTTACTCTATTTCTTGCAAATTTCATTGTTTTACTCAATTGTCCAATTAAAAATATGATCACCATTCAATTTTCCTCCCAGGTTAACTTCCTACTGACCTTTTCTCTGATCCATGATTCCACCTTATCAGCCTCTTCATTAAATAACAGCATGTCTTTGGCCTCCTCCAGGATCTTGCCGCGCTGATCCAAAGCTTTAAGAAGCTCATCCCACTGTGATAGCAGCTTATTGAGTCGCTCCTGGATCTCTGGAGATGCGTGATGCCTTTTCTTGAGCAACATCTCACCTCGCTAAATAATAATAACAAATACATGCATAGTTAGGTTATTCAATGGAATTGATTTCAGCAGAACAAAACATTATACAAAAGATTATCATGACTTATTACATGTATAAGTGTCATTCTTATCCACCCCTCAAAGCACATGATTTCAAACTTTTCAAAATGACATTGAATATTTGAACTTGCGAATTCCTCGTCAACAATTTATAATTCATATCTTACTTTTAATTAGCTGTTTCAAAGAGTATCACTTTTGGCCATATCAAGTGGATAAGTGACAGCCAATTTAGACAGTAACTCAATTGTGAAAAACCCAGTCCAACGTCACTGTTTAAGACCCAATTCTTAATAACTCACCTCTTTTATATTTTTAATGGTGTTAGTGTTGGCCACTACTTCAGCCTCAAATGTTTGATGTTTCTGTAGTTTTTTCATCTTTTCATAGAGGTCTGTTACTTGAGCAATGTTGTCATCATGGACTGTCTTCAGCTTGTCTCCAATCCAAGACTCAGCCTAAAATCAATACATAATTTGTTAGAGGTATATAAGGATCAGACCTTATGCAGGGTTAATGTTGTCATCATGGACTGTATTCAGTTTGTCTCCAATCCAAGACTCAGCCTAAAATCAATGCATAATTTTTTCAATGTATATAAGGATCAGGCCTTATGCAGGGTTAGTGTTTACATTATGTACTGTTTATAGTTTGTCTCCAATCCAAGACTCAGCCTAAAATCGATCAAGTATACAATGTCACTGCCTTATGCAGGGTTAATGTTAACATCACAGACGGATAATATTACTATCAGGCCTTATGCCAGGTTCATTATGTACTAGTTTCAGTTTGAAAATAAAAATATCATCTTTCTCACTAAACATTAAAGCCAAACTCACCTCAGTACAATCTCTATTAAACTGTGCATATAAGAGATTATCGTCCAGTTTCCTTTTCCTCTCGTCACTTAGCGCATGAATCCTATCACGGCGCTGCGTCACTGAATGAAGCTTACTTCTAATATTGGGTGAGTCAAAATGCTGTTCTGCTATTAAACTGTTTCCAAAATCGACGAGATTTTGTTGTTTTTCTTTCTGAGTTGCGAGAACTTTCTCAAAGTTTTCATGCTTCTTGCGGAGCTTTTCTACTTGATCGACTGTAGTTCCTAGATCAGAGCTATTGAGGTATGCCTGCAAGTAATGTCGTATTTCATTATGTTACTATCATAAAGATTATGATTACTGACTGTTTTAGCTTTTCCTTCATTTATTTGAATGAGAGGTAACAAAATGTTAAATATAATATTAATTGAATCCCCTTGGTGTTCTGGTCTTGGATTGTGATATTGGGGGAAGGAGGGTATCAGACATTATTTTTTCATGTTTGATCATGGTTCTGGGATATATGGGGTTTGGTTTTCTTATGACTGGTTTACACTTAGAGTTTGCTTTTTCTTGCTAGGTTCCATTTCAACTTTTGGTCCTTTCCCTTTAGCCCATGTGCTTAGTTATTTACTTATATTGAATATCTGAGAACATGTTAGACACATAGACATATGTTGTTTTTACATTTTACATTCAGAAACCAAAATTTAATCAGCCTCTTAAGGCCTCTTGCTGGGCTTACCTCTTGAGAGGTGCATGTATTCTCTAACTGATTAGCATCTCTGTAGAAACTCTGTTGTTCATGTAGTCTGTCTAAGTGAGCCTTGCGTTCTTGCCATGTTGCATGAAGGCCCTCACGTTCTTCCAATACATTGTCAATCTTTTCCTGAATCTGAAAGGAAATGGGAAATGGGTAATGGGATATTTAGGACATTTGTGAAATTACTGAGTGGATGAATGTCATCAAGCGGTATGTGTATGTATTTTGTTCTATTTTTCTTTTTGTGATAATTCAAATTAGATAAGCGCTTTAATTGCCTAATTATCAATATTTGATTGTTTATTGTTGCTATGGAAACACAGGCCCGAACCCAAACCCCCCCTGACCAAATTTTCTTTCAAAATCATGCAGTTTTTCATCATTCTGACTATTTTTTGAGTGATTTTTGGCCAAATTTGCCAAAGTGAACCCCCCTAGAATTTTTTGGAAAAGTGAACCCCCCTTGGAATATTCTGGCTACGGGCCTGAAACATAACGCTATCTTTTAACCAGTTACAGAATTTCTAATAAACATCAAAAGCCCACATCCATGTTCCAACAGTGCCAAAATAGCCCATTTACTGGCCACTTTTCATGACAAGCCTAGAAGTTGAATAACTACTTTTTGAAAAAATCATACCTCATCACTTGCATAGTGTTTCTGAGCAATCATCTTATTTCCAGACTCTACGACACTTCCAAATGTGTCTTCCCTGGCATCAATCTCTGCTTTAAGCTCGTTGTGGCGAGACTTCCACAGGTCTACTCCCGCCACATCTCTGATTGGCTTATCTGTTGTCATCTCCATTTGCATCTCGGTGCACCAGTTGACCAAGTCACGAACCTATAGCAAAACATGATATGATGATGTGAATTTATGGATTGTTGCACATAATACTCGATTTAAAAATATTTCATCATTAAATACTTGAATAAATGTGTAAAATAATCTCTTCTATTTTAATGCAAATATTTTTCACCTATTATTTCTTCATTCAAATCTCAACATCTAACTTATCACAATATATAAAGGTCATCCCTCGTCAGAATTGTAAATTTGGTTCATCTCTTGGGTTGATATATTATCTTCCCTCAAGATAAACCTCATATACAATCCCTTCGTATCAAATGCATAAGTTGCTACTTACAGCAGCTATGAACCTATGGTAGTCTATGGCAGCTAGGAGATTATCCTTCCTGTTAGCCGCCTGTTCTTGTAAGATCCCCCAGTTCTCAACCACAATTGCTTGTTGTTGGGCAATCTGTTCAGCATTGTCTCCTGGATATTCTTCCCTCAATCTTGCAGCATCATTTACAAGGATCTGAAACAAGTTTTTTAGTTATTATTCATATGCTCTTACTATGCACAGCATTGTGACATGATTTTATTAAAATAAAATGACATACATGTATGTATTAAATTACAATTGTCATCAAAATATGAGGGTCGTCCAAGAAATAATGTACTACTCGCATATGCTCTAGCTTTCTTGAATATTCTTCAATTGAGCTTAACTTGCATAGGTTGCAGTTACAAAGTGAAACCATTTGTCACAGATACAGTCACAAAATGTCAAATGATGACATTAACCACCACACTGAATACAGGTCAACAAAATTGGTAGCGATAACAACATGTTACCACTTATCTTCATGTTCAATGTTTCATAATTATATTTATAGATTTTTAAAAAAATGTATATATATAAATGTTATTTTAATGTTTGTTACTTTATTATTTAAGGTTGTCTTTTGTATACTCTTACCCTATAAGGGGTGAATTGAGAAATCAATAAATAAATTTAAAAAATACTGATTAATTTCTTTTGATTAAAAATAAAAATACAGCTGGATCTTTTATATTTCAAACCACTAAGTGCACCCACCTGTAACTGTGCCTCCAGAGCAACCAGTTCATTCTCAAAGCCCTCATGTTTACGGAGATAATTCTGTGTGGCTGTGATGTCACGTCCAAGCTCTTCTGGGATAGCTGCATATTTCTCCTAAAGATATACATAAAAATATTGATTTTCCAAAGTGTAAAAAAATTACAACTTCTGCAAGTTGCATACTATACTACTCCGAAAACATTTAATATTTTGCTCCGACCTTTAGCGTCCTGTTGAAAAAAACATTATATAGACTTTACTGTGCAACTCCAAAGTCATGTTGATATTCTGGTTGGGCTTTAATGCCATTAAACATGAAAGTATTTCTAATTTTCTAAAGGTGGGATGGGTTTAAATATCATAAAATGCTATTAATCCTTTTAAATTTAATTAACAACCTCTTTTAAACACCTCAATTTTCTATACTTCCACCTCAACCTCTAACCAGTAATTTGGAATCAACTAATCAATGATTTCTTTCACCTGTCCATTACCCCCTGTATGCTGCTTTGATTTACAAAAAGTTATGGGTTATAATGAATGAGCCTTATACAGAATTATCTATTCTTCTATGAAGTTATCTGTTACAAAGTTATACATTTTTCACACTTGAAATTTCTCACACTGACAAATTTTCAAAAAAATTATGGCTTTTGGTAATTTTCTGTTTAAGGTTATTTTTGAATTCTTAAGGTAAACGTGTGTATCTGTACCTGTATACGAGACATGGCTTCTTCGACATCTCTGTTGAAACGATGAATTTCACCAGCACCTTGGAGTCTCACATCCTTACTGCCAATCTCATCAAGTAAAGTCTTCCAGGAATTCCTAATATTGAAGTAAATGAATGCATCAATGGCAACTCAAATGGAATGGTTTCATTATTGAAGACACATGAGGTCATTAATGGCAGGAATGTATACAAATCGCCAGGCCCGTAGCCAGGGGGGGGGTTCCAGTTCGAGCCCCCCCCCTGGCCAAAAATCTTACTTTTTAAGTTATTTTGGCCATTTTTGGACCAAAATTGTCACAAGTGAACCCCCCTGGAATTTTTCAAAAAGTGAACCCCCCTTGGCAAATCCTGGCTACGGGCCTGAATCGCTGACTTGATTTGATTAAAATAGTTTTTCAATTACATGTATTATATACATTTGAATGTTTATTGCACTATTTTTCTTTTCTTAGCACTTGATTAATTTAGTTTTGATTTTAGATGGAGTCAATTTTTTTTGAGCAACTACATAAATTTTGTTTTGTTGAAATAAAAATCATTTTGAAAATTTCAAGGTACATTTGAATTTTTTCCTCAGCACTCACCTGAGTTGATCTTGTCTTTCCTGAATATCTGTACTATTTGGGTTTCCCTCATCTATGAGGTTTTGCGCCATCTTTTCACAGCGATTATAACGTTCAGCACCAGCCTCAACTTTCAATTTAAACTCATCAAATTTATTTTGCAATATCTGCAAATGTTCGTAATCTGTTCCATAGTCTGAACTCGATGCAATTTGATATTGTTCATTTATCCATTCCTCCAGTTCATCGCTTTCACGCATGTATTCATGAAGACCTTTATTGTGGTCGAGATTTTTACGTCGCTGGGCTGCGGCCTTTTGGAGTTTGGCCATTTGTTTTTCAAGCTCATCTTGGCGTTTTGTGATTGCTTCTGGAGGAGTATAGCCGGCTTTGATGACATCTTGACCCATTTTTCGGAGATTGCCGAGCATGTTGTTATATGTGTCAATGTCTCCTTCTAGAGCCTGAAGTTATAAAGATGAAGTTCTATGTGTATAGATAGATGTGCTTAAAACTAAAACATATATGTAGTTTGCAAGTTGATAATTAATGTTTTTTCATGGAACATTCAATACCAAAAACATTACAAATACCCCAGTTGTATGAAAAATCACTATCAATTTTTCAAAAAAAGATAATTGAAAAATGTGACTTTTATTAAAATCTCCATAAAATAGACATCAATAGTATTTTAAGGCAGACCTTGTGTTTGGTGACCAGCTTATCAGATGCATTCTCATCTTTTCCATAGTCAGTCCCAGCTAGTCCTCTTTGCTTCTCATTTAGCCATGATTCAATTTCTGCTGCCTCAGCAAAATACTGCTTCCCTTGTAGAGCAAGATCTAGGTTTGCTCTACGATCGGCAGAACATGCGAGAAGTTTATCCCAGGCAGTCTTTACTTCATTGCATTTTTCTTTGATTGGTTGAGAGGCAAAGTGGTTTGCACGGACTAGCTGGTTTCCTGTCGCGAGACATTTATCTATCACAGGTTTATGTCCAGCTAGTTCTTTCTCAAATTTCTGAAAACAGAATTTAATCACAAGATATTTCAAAAAATTAAATATAAATAAATCAAACATACACTGTACAATACAAACATGCAATTTAACACAAATCATACAATATTTCGTATATCAAAGTATTTTGGGAAAATCCTTACCATATGGGACTTATGTAGATTCTGCGTATCTGTGAGACTGTTCCCATAATCTTTAGACGTTGCAGCAGGCATGTGTTCATTGATCCATTGTAGCTCTGTATCTCCATCAAAGTCAAATTGATGCCATTTGAGGGAATCTTCAAGCTTCTTGCGTCTTGCTGCAACCTCTGGTTTCAAATCATTGAACCTGTTAAAAAGAAAATATAGGCTTTTATAACAGCTATTTTTAATACAGTTAACCTGTTATGCCAACATGTCTATAAGTTCATCTATGTAGTTCATCAGATGTTACTATGATGTGAAATATGTCTTCATTATTGCCCAAATATAGGGCTTCTCGCATGTTTCAAGTCAAAGTTATCTAACTTCAAAGAATGTACCTGGGGTCCATTTTTAGTCCGTTCATAATTTTCAATTCCTACGAAACAATTGTCTACTATAAGAGTACTATAAGAGTACAATAAGAGGTTTCGAAAAACTGATCCCTGATTCCTAACTATTGTCTTATACACATCATGCTTTACTCACTGTTCATTGAAGTCTTTGGTTGCTGAAAGAATCTTATCTGCATCAAAATGTCCAGCCTGAGCCATAGCTTTACCCTGTTCAGCTATGCCTTGGATCCTTTCCTGGTTGCTCTTCATATCATTCTCAAGACCCTGAAAATAAAGCAGGGGAAATATGTATTCAAAGTTAATCTTGTTTTTCAAATAGTGCAGTCCTCCGGGCAGTCAGTGTTGATTTTATACAAATAGACTCAGAACATGTGAGTTGGATTTGGATGATAGCAGCTATTTATAGGGCTAGCATAGACAGGATTGAAATCAAGAGGGAATGGATTTTGGAATTTCCCTTCTGATTTCAAACTTTCAGACATTAAAAGTCAGTGATTGGGTCATTTAAAAAATATGAAATATATAAAATCAATTATGAATAATATATTCAGATTATTTATCTATTTAGATGTCAATGATCCTGAAATGATTGTAAAGTTTCTCAATCAACTTAAACTTTTCACATCCCACACAGTAACAAGCATATATTTAATATCTCTGTGAATGTGTTCCTGAGTCCATACCTGATGTTTCCTCAACAGATCCTTCACGCTACGTAGATCATTCCCGACATCATCAGAGCCCACCAACTTTCTCATTGCATCCAGTCGATCCTGGTTCTCCTTCAGCAGGTCATTGAGGATGCTTTGGTCGTGAGCCTGACGTAACTTCTGACCTTTGTCCTCTGCTTTCTTGAACAGATTCTGCCAATCACGGTTCAGTCGGGTCAGAGTTTGGCTGATGTGCGGCTTGGCGTAGTGGTTGTCTTCTATCAGGGCATTTCCCAGCTGAAAAAACAAATCGAGAATTAAAATAAATTTTTAAAACCACCGCAGCAAATACATGTTAGTGAATTGGGATTTTGAAGGTAGTCAATCCAAATTGCAAAACAAAAAATTAATAACATGCAAAATGTCATCACCTGCCATTTGTTATAGACACTGAATGCCACACGCCAACCACCATCACAAAAAATGGAGACCATAACATTATAAAAATGCAAGAAAAGTTTAGAGAAAATACCATGTAATTGTCATGACACTTATCCATTTAATATCGAATTCTTCATAGTCCTTCATGACATGGACGCTAAACCATAAAATATTGATTTCGCTACATAGTAGTACATACCAGGTTAATGACTTCTAGTCGCTCCCCATTGGCTTTCAGTTCTGCTTCAAATGCTTCATATTTCTTACGTTTCTTATCCAAGTTAGTCAAATCTCTGTAAGATTCGTCCACTGCTGTGGCGTACTTCTCTTTCATCCATGAATCCAGCTGAAATGACAAATAACGCCATAGTAGTATATTTAATCAAAAGATGGAGGAAGGTGCAGTATTAAGCCAATAATAATGACTTTTATTGGCTTATTCCTCATTATTATCATTAATTGAAATTATTGGATGTAAAATATAAATTTACTTCAAGAATAAGATAATTTGAGTAGAACCAAAAAAATTAGAAATACCATATTAAACATGGGACATTATCTCCTCTGACATATGAAACTTGGGACATTACCTCCTCTGATACATTAAACATGGGACATTACCTCCCCTGACAATTATAAAACTTGGGACATTACCTCCTCTGCGTCTCTGTTGAACTCCTGTAAAGCCTGGGAAGCTAGCAACATATTGCGTCTCTCTTTGCTCTTGTCCTTGACCTTTTCCCTGCGATCCAGCACTTGTTTCCTACGAGCGTCTATACCTTTCTTCTCAGGGTGGTTGGCCTGGATCAACTTGTCGGCCATATCGTTGAACCCTAGTACAGCATTATTAGGTTATAATTAGAATTAATTCATTCATATAAGTCACTTATTTAACAAAATGGGTTTGTCAAAATGAGGAATGAACTCAGTGCTCAAGAAATTTGTCGCCTTACTTTTGTAACATTTGTAACATTTAAAGAAATGAAGTACAGTAAAAAATTGATTCAATTTTGATTTGATGGAGAACTTTACTAAACTGAGTAACAGAAAAATAAAATATAAAGGAGTGTTTTTCTGTTTAGACTCCTAATATGTTTCCAGGATCTGGACTGTGAATTTGAGTTCTTAAGGCTTTTGGAAGCTGATAAGGGACATCTGAAATTGATTTTTGAATTCTTATGATAACAGACATTGTATATCCCCTTTGTAAAAAATGTTGTTATTCAGTAGTTGTTGAGATATTAATTACTCAAGTCATTTTTTGCAGTCAAAAAATAAGAGATGCGTAGGATAAAAAGGCAGCATGGTAAAGGTTAAGGAACTGTCTGACTTTATTACATTTTTCTAGTAATGATTATTTTGCTTGTTTACTTTGAACTCTTGGGTAATACCCTTTCATTATCTATTTGTTATGTAAGACATTTTTGGATGTATTTTTTCAACATTAATGGAAGCATGGGCGTAGCGCCAAGTATGCTGGGTGGTGTACTACTTAGAAATATACAACGTGCATGGGTGGGTGGGAGTCTCACCTTTGAGTCGATCATCTTGGGATATTAACTTGTGTTCAAAGTCCTCGTGTCTCTTGAACAATGCTTCAACTTCATCTACACTGTTTCCAAGCTCATCAAACTCAAGGAATGCTTCATGGCTGATTGTGACAGAGTCTATCTGGTCACCCTCTCTGTTGAACACCTAAAATGGAGCATCTTAGTTTAGAAATCTTTCACTCCAGTTAAATCATAATTGGATAATCATTTGAGTTTGATTAATTGAAACACAATGAGGCAATGATGAGCTCCAAGAAAAGTTAAAGGGATATTATTATTTTCCAGACTTGACGAGCAATGGTTCAACAGATTTGCTACGTTTTTTTTCTATTCCATGTAAAAGTACAATTTTTTGAAAATTAGTGATCCATTAATGGCATCCAGGGGTTTCACTAGAACTTCTCACAACAGGCTAAATAAATGAAAACTACAGGTAAAATTAATGGAAATTATAATCTTTACATGGAAAAGTTGAAAAGTCTAAAAACAACGGGCAATTTTGTGAAAATTGCCTGTTGCTGATGAAAAACCCTGGCATCTGTTTTCGGTGATTTTTTGCTATTTTCTGCTTACTTGTTGTTCTAGGTCATGCTGCAATTGGCCATTTCTTTTGTCCCAAAGATCGCCAATTTGGATCTGTTCATCGTTCAATCGCTTTAGTTTCTGGCGAACTTCCTGCTGGTCTGGCGTATGACGTAAAACTTGTTGTCCAATCTGATGAAGCTCGTTGAATCTGAAATAACATTTTTATTTGATTATCACATGCACATGTAGCGGCACACATTTAGCAAACTGTGTTGACAAAATATTTAAACTCATGAATTTAAACATCTTATAAAAAGTGTTCAGCCACAATATGAAATGAATATGTGATACTATCAGTTATCACACTTTTCAGCATGTGATACAGGAAATATTCCACGAAAGGTAATACTGTATCATCCACGAAAGCGAAGCTTGAGTGGTGATACATTGTTACCCGAGTGGAATATTTCCTGTATCACATAAGCTGAAACGTGTGATGACGATTTTATCACATGTCTAGGAATTATGAAGCATTTTGATTTGGACAGTATGACTCAGTTCAGTACTCTGTACTCACGGTAACTATTACCATTTTTGTGTGTTTTGAAATTTCGCTTTGAAATAATATGACGTCATACCGTTGCATTCATACTTTCTTGTGAAGTAATATGACGTCATACTGTTTTCTTTTAAAATATGAAACGTCATCACTGGTTGCCTCTAGTAACGTGTGAGACGGCCGTGTGAGACGGGAAAACTCACATGGTAACCAACCAATCTGATTACTGGAATTTTACATAGTATGTGATAAACTGTAATATAATCAATTTGATTAATGCTTTGATATGTATAAACTTTAAAACAGTCCCCAATTGTAGGCAAAATATACAATTCTCAGGTGGGTGCAAATTGGTTTTCAAGTGGGTACAAGCCTATTTCAAAATCTCAAATGGGTCCAGCACCCACTTGATCAGCCATCAATTTTCCCATACTTAGGTTTAGTTGCTTCAATCTCATCTCTGAGGTCAGCATGATCCTTTAATAGTTCCTCTGCCCCTGGTACATCTTTAGCTGTCTCTTGGTTGTTAAGCTTCGCCTTGACATCATTGCACCAAGAGAACTAAAACAAAAATTTATTTATGGTGCGCTCGATTTTAGGTGAACATTGTATGACATGGTTTCTTTTTTTCTGTGATACTGAAATCTGGATTTGAAAATGGCTAGAATTGTTTTGTGAGCTTAAAACTTTTAGTGGACACTAGACATGATGTATCCTTGAAACTTTAAAACGCACAAAAATCAAAGATGTATCCAGAAAGTACTTTGATGTTTTTAACTAATTAACTGACCTTGTTTGATCATTACAGTACATGTATGATAGGGGTGAGTCGGCAACCCATAAACTACAGCAAAATCTTTATGATCATTCATGTAACAAAATTACAATTGAGGAATCTGCCTGTATTTTCATGATTCATCTTTCCCTTGTTTAATTGAGAATTCATAATAGAGGTAGTTTACATGTGAAAAATACAGTAACATGTTGTTTACATGATGAATATGATTCACTCATTCCTTGTTTAAAATTTGATGTACTCTATAACTTACCATATCTGAGCATTTTTCATTGAAGGTAAACTGTCCCTCTGCTTTGTCTAGTTTGTCCTTTCTATCAGCTAATTTGTTCTAAAACATATAAACAAACATCGTGTTAGTGCTTTCAAATGTTTGTCAAAGAGGGGATAGATTTAGGCATGACCTCTACCTGGACAGACAATGTTTTTATAAATATCATTCTTTGAATCGTTTCAAATATACATGTATAGTGCCAGTTGCGTCAGACATACAGAAATTTATTATAATTTGCGGAATTAGGCTCTCAGTTTGGAATGAGGAACTAAGAAACAACATGTATATACCATTTCCATTAAATAACAATATTACCTTTTTACATATTTTGACCCTTAAAATGCCATGCAAGCATAACATTTGCATTAATTAATCTAGATGCATATTTAGTGTTCTCCACAGGATTTTTTTCAAGTGGGACAAACTTTCTCAAAATTGATCGAAATATGCCCATTTTTTATGATTCTTCTCATTTTCGAGTGGGCGCAAATGAATTTTCAGGTGGGTGCAGGCCAATTTTTAAGATCTCAGGTGGGTGCTGCGCCCACTTGCTTTAGTGCTGGGGAGATCAATGTCTGTCCCTAGGGAAACCTACCTCTAAACTATTCCAAAGCTCGTCTATTATACTTTGTCTTTGGTCAACATGGCCAGCCTCATCAGGGTAGGAAGACTTGACACTGGAATGATATACAACTTACACTTAACAAATAATTTACACTGGCATAATGTATATCTACACTGAAATAATTAAAGTTGTTTATTATACTTTGTCTTTGGTCAACATGGCCAGCCTCATCAGGGTATGAAGACTTGACACTGGAATAATATACAACTTACACTTAACAAATAATTTACACTGGCATAATGTATATGTACACTGAAATAATTAAAGTTGTTTATTATACTTTGTCTTTGGTCAACATGGCCAGCCTCATCAGGGTATGAAGACTTGACACTGGAATAATATACAACTTACACTTAACAAATAATTTACACTGGCATAATGTATATCTACACTGAAATAATTAAAGTTGTTTATTATACTTTGTCTTTGGTCAACATGGCCAGCCTCATCAGGGTATGAAGACTTGACACTGGAATAATATACAACTTACACTTAACAAATAATTTACACTGGCATAATGTATATGTACACTGAAATAATTAAAGTTGTTTATTATACTTTGTCTTTGGTCAACATGGCCAGCCTCATCAGGGTATGAAGACTTGACACTGGAATAATATACAACTTACACTTAACAAATAATTTACACTGGCATAATGTATATGTACACTGAAATAATTAAAGTTGTTTATTATACTTTGTCTTTGGTCAACATGGCCAGCCTCATCAGGGTAGGAAGACTTGACACTGGAATGATACATATTTACACTGAAATAATCAATGTCTTTAAACTAATTGAATGCATGTTCTTTCATTTCATTATTATTATAAACCTTACACTAAATATACAATTAACATTGGCAAAGTGTATATTTACACTGAAATGATGTATGTTTTCACATTGGAATAATATAATTTACAACTTACACTTAATTTACACTTAACACTGAAATTGCATATGTCTAGTAGGAATGCACTACTCTAAAACATCTTAATATATTCTGTATAATATTTAGCCCGTGACAATCTGATGTGCGTCATGATAACACAAGCATTTGGCATCAACTTGAACTTTATCAATACAAACGTGACCATTTTATATCCCTTCATCTCAAAAGCAGGCCTTTATTGCCTCAAAGACTGTATTTTTAATGTACAAATTTGGAGGGACCAGATCATGATTTAAATTACTGTCAAATATAGTTAATTTATTTATTTCTATGTAGCATGATTGGTATCTCTATGACTCATTCTGATACTCGTCACATCTCCTTACATGTTGTTTGATATCAGCTCATCTGATGGGAAGAGTTACAATTGTTATGAAAATGTGGTTATCACCTAATTATCGGCCTTTTCATTCGTGTTACAATAACAATGTGTTTTTTACCTATTTAAGTGACTTAAATGGCATTTTTCTTTAAATCACTTCCTTAAGATATAAGAGCGATTTCACACATACGTGAAAGTTCAACTTATAACGTATACTTATACTTATAATGAACGTACAAGTTGTTTCATAATGTGGGCTTTTCGTCAGGAAAGATCTTCTCGGACTGTAATAAATAAAGGTCAAAGGAATGTCATTTGTACCTTCTTGAATTGTAGCATGTTTAGTTGATCCAAATGTGTATGTGTAGAATAAAATAGGCTCATATATAGTACATATGTTATAGCCCCATCTCTTCTCAAATTGACTTTTTGCAGATGCTCGTTATGAAAACCCTGTATGTCATTTGTTGAGCTACTGAATGGGTCGTTTCCAGGAATTGCTAGAACCTACTATACTGGTTTGATTGGTGTTTCAAATTGATGGTTAAAGTATTTGATTGGATACTGTTCCTACTCAGCCAATCAATTTAAAAAAATGCTGCGGTCAATTGTTCTACACACATGTAGGTAAAGCTTTATACGGAGATCCAACTGTATACGTTTATCATCTACGTATATATACCGTTTTTTAATTTCATTGAACTTATACTGATCATGAAAACTTTGAAATAATAGCAACTTGTTTATGTAAAGAGTCACTTTAAAGGATCATGACTCACTTTAAAGGATCGTGTTTATAATACACTACAACTACAAGGACACGGAAGCAAGCATTCAATTATAATGTGCATAATCTACACGTGCAGATGATAGTGCATTCACAGTCTCTAGTTGATGGAGCTTTTCTATATCGGGAATAGTTATGTTCCATTAGAACGATTCAAAGTTGATTTTAGTAAATATAATAGTTTGACATGACCCTTTAAAGTATATGTATACGTATAAGTTGTACTTTCACTTATATGCGAAATTTCTCTATTAAATACAGAAAATTGAATTGTTAACTAAAATGGATGAAAATAAAAGTAATAGATATAACTTATTGCTGTTTTTTTGTGAGAAAATTATTTCAAACAACTACTCTTTACATTGACATGGTTTTTTACAATGCACGACACCTGAAATTATTTGTCAAGCTAGGAAATGGGCCAAAAGTGAATTTCGCGAGACATAAATGGCGACCATTTTGAAAATAGGCGAGCTTTTCAACCAGGAGTCATAGGGGAGTTTTCTGTATTGATGTTGAACAAAAATAACTAAAAAAGGGAATCCTATTGACAGAGGTTTTAAGGCAAATTGTCCAAAAGTGGATTTTGCGAGACAGATGGACAAATCAATGTTAACTAAAATGGCTGAAAATAAAAAAAAAACGGATATAATTTTTTGCCGATTTTTTGTAACAAAATTATTTCAAAATTACGATTACGGTACTTGTATTTGCTTCCTGTTTTTGACTTATGTCATATACATTAATAATTACAGTATATGCATTGACTTCCTGTTTTTCAACATCTTTTTCATTTTTTTGAATACATGTAGGTCTTTCATCTGTGTTTCTTGAATGAAATGTTTTTAAAAATGCAATTTTGGAACAAATTAATTAGCAAACTAACCAACTCGGTCCTGATATCAAATAAGTTATAATTAACACTCTAAGAATAATAACACAAAAAGTACTTCATGTCAGAAACTTATTACTTCCCCTTTTATAAATAGAAAATGTTGAGAACATGGAGTTTGATGCACTTCAAATATCGCAGAATGTGTAAGGGTTGCTAAAACAAATAACAGTAGAGTTTGAAGTTCTTAAATTTGATGACCAATTAGCAAAGGACCATATTTTGCCTGATATTCAGGTTCCTTTGATTGATAATTATTGTATACTCTCTTCTCTTCACATTTTGTGTTTTTCAAGCACTTGTTCATTTTTGATAAAATTAAAAATAGATATTTGGGTAGATCCACTCTATATGAATTTTTTAAACATAATAATGAATTTCTTCTACTTACGCTCCAGCAAGTAAATTCAGCTTAGCAAGCTTATCCTGTAGAGGTCCAAGCTCCTTCTCAAAATTTTGTAATTGACGTTTTAAAGCCTCGTTTGACTTCCTGTCTCGCCCGACGTCATCTGAATTCAACGCTCCAAGCTTCTCGAGAATCCAATCTTTTGCTTCGTCACAAGTTTGTTGGAATAATTCAATGCTTAAATAATACAAACATTTAATTCGATAGTAAGTCTCATATGTATTGTGTCATCTATCTTTGAAATCTTTAAATTTCATGATACCAAAGCCACATAATTGCAAATAAAAAATACCCAAGTAATGCCTTGGTCACATTTTCTCAGATTTTCACTACGGCGCCCAACCGCTTGAGTATTTTGTTCAAAATTGAATACAATATTGAGCAAAACTCTCAATCGGCCGGGCGCCAGCCGATGGATCGGAGCAAATGTGACCCAGGCATTAGGTAAGTACAGTATGCACTGTGTTTTCCTAAACAAAAAATTATGTAAAACTAAGCAAAAGTGTTTTCCTACCTGGATGCACCTTCAAGATTTTTCTCTTTGTCCAGTTTGATTTTGTGTAAATTATCCCACCTAAAAAACAAAACAAATTTTATATAATGTGATCTGAAGATTCACTAAGCTTTCAAATTTTGGGAAATGTACCTTGTATAATAACAATTTTTCTTTGGGAGTACTGTAGACAAGAAAATCTCTAATAAAACTTGGCAAACATTTAAACATTTCTAAAGTGAACCCAAAATTGGAAACCTTTTATTTTGAATTAGGGCAGTTCCCCAGACTCAAAAAAATTTGGAAAATGTCATTATAATTCATTTGATCAAAATCTTTTGATCTGAGCGATGTAATTTGCCATAATTAGTAAACATCCACATAAAAACATGAAAATATTAAATATTTTCTATGTAAGTTCATCTCTCTGGTCTGTATATATACTAAAACAACTTTATTCATTTCTTCAGAGAATCTTAATAAATATTTTATTTATCACTGGTAAATATAATCATGAAAAAATTACATAAAGATTCTTATCATGTACATCAGGTTTTAATGTCCCAGTAAACAGTGTACCAAATCTTATTTATTTTTATTGATTTAATATCAATATTGAATTCCACTACAGAGAGGGGAAAACAAAACAAAAAACTTTGTGTTTACTTAATCAACTGCACTTAAGTTTTAACTATGAGGAATTTGTTTTTAATTATTTATTCATATATCTATATTCATATCATTTATTTTTACTTAACACTTAAGTGATGGGTCATAATTACATGGAACTTTAAATTCTTAAAATAAATTTCATTATATTAGTGTAAAGCTACTAAGCAATCTGAAAGGTTGTAATTAAACCTGTAAAAAGCATTCTGATAAAAAAGAACTCTTCCACAAATATTGAGCAAGAATAAATTTACAGCACCATTCCATAGAGGCATTTTATTAGTAAACATAATATCCAATTAATGTAATTATTAGTAAATGGATTGTTAATAGTGTAGTTTGAAGTCGGAAACAGAGAAATTGCCTTTATACTGCCCTAAACACAAAAGCCAAGACTAGCTTGCTTATAGCTCAAAAAACCTCCAGAAAGCGTTGGTGTTAAAATGAATATGTAAGTTCATGGTGACATGCATTGGTTGGAATAACGGATGATCATGAATTTTGTCTCCTTTTGGCAATACATGTATTAGTATTATCAATGGATTTACATGATGGCTGATTGGCTGAGCTAGACACACTTAGAGTATGATTAACACATAGCAAATAGCATTCTAGCCAATCAGAACTCAGAATAGCCATTCTATATTTCATTACAGACAAACGGTTAATATAGGGAAAAGTGATAAGGGAACTAGCTATTGACTTTGTGTGAAAGTCTATGAATAGGATGACATAATAATTAATGACAATGATTAGGTTGTATTTGATATGATGATTAGGTTGTATATGATATTACAAAGCACTTTTTGATACAACCCAAAATATAAGGATACTATAAACACCTTATATAACCATATATGACAATGCAAAAATACAAGAATAGGATACTACTGACCCCTTTTATAATCCCCATCCTGTAATTCATACATGCAGTGCAAGAAGGGGTTATACTTATATTAAGCAGAAAGCCACAGATATTCAAGCAAATATTTATTTAAAAGAACACCCTGTATTCAGTCTGTAATACTCTGTGTTCAGTATCTGTACCATACAATTTTTGTGCACAGCAAAAATGTTCAAACTGAATACAGGGTGTTCTAAATTTGGAAACATAAAATCAAACAAATCAAACCAAAACCAAACAAACCTGTCATTGATTTCTTTCTGTCGTTTCCTGACGGCATCCACACTGAACAAGCTGTTGGTAAAAAATGCAGGTAAAAATGCAGGTGACAATGCTGGTAAAATGCAGGTGACATAAATATAGCATGCAGGTAAGTTCACAGGTGTGTGTAAAATGAGTTCAAAATACACAAATTTAGATCATTGTGTAACATGTGTTCAAAAACAGGCACAAATAACATAAATTCTATGTGCATTCAATATACACACAATATAACAGGTTTAAAGGGCGTATGGGAGATTTGGAGTAGTTCAATTAATATATGATCAAATCTTATGTTATGTATATTGTTTAATGTACATGTATACAAGGTGTATGTACTGTATATGGTATTTAAACAATTGGAGAACGGATATATTTTGGTCTGGTATGTTACTAGAAGTGCAGGGTATATTGTTATCAGAAGGGCGTATCATGAACAAGTGCAAGACATATCATGAACAAATGCAAGACAAATCATGAACAAATGCAGGACATATCATGAAAAAATGCAAGACATATCATGAACAAGTGCAAGACATATCATGAACGAGTGCAAGACATATCATGAACAAGTGCAAGACATATCATGAATGAGTGCAAGACATATCATGAACGAGTGCAAGACATATCATGAATGAGTGCAAGACATATCATGAATGAGTGCAGGACATATCATGAACGAGTGCAAGACATACCATGAATGAGTGCAAGACATATCATGAATGAGTGCAGGACATATCATGAACGAGTGCAAGACATATCATGAACAAATGCAAGACATATCATGAACAAATTCAGGACATACCACGAGCAATGCTTTAAGTATCATGCCAATACAAGCATAACACATTAACAATAGAACAACTGGAAAATGGCAAATCCACGGAGTAGCAAATCCCAACGAACACTATATAAATTATGAATCTGTACAGTCACAATGTAATATTTACCACCCATCAATATATATTTGAGATCATTGTGATGTCATGTTACCATACTTTAAAGATAACTCCAAGTAATGGCAAATTCCTGCTCTAGGCAGCTATTTTGAATTTTCTGTGGCACAAATCAGAAAAACAATACCATGATTGTGATCTACTCTGAAATATGAACAAAATCGCTCCACTACTTTTGAGTTACAGCAAAAATTGTAAAATAATGAGCAAAGGCTTCTTTAATATCTAAAAGACATTTCTAGCTTTATATAATTTTTCTTACATTTAAAACATATTGCTATTACAGTTTTACATATTGCACCTAAATAACTATAAAATTGGCAGACGGACGGAGGTGTTCCCTATATCCCTCCGAACTTCGTTTGATGGGATAATGAACTCTTCAATTAGCCTTTCTATCAAACGTGACTTCAGAACACAACAGGTATATCATGACTAAAACAGGGGACTCAATATTTAATCCCAAATTTAATTAGTAGGCCTTGGGGACATCCTGTGACAATTCAAGTTTGCGTAAAAACTGTTGGGTTCCAAGGCGGTCAATCAACCTTCAATACAGCTAAGTAAATGCTTGACATCAAAAGCTAGATAAATAACTAACAGTTTCAAATAACAAACTGTTGCATAATTGACAATAGGACTACACAACAAAGTTCAAGAAGACTTCATCTCTGTGTGAAACATCCATTCCTAGTAGCCAATAGAGGTGTCACGGTCAGATATTCTTCTCAGGGTCGCGTCGGGCCACAAAAAAAGTTCGCGGGTCGGGTAATTTCGAGTCGGGTCAGAAGAAAAGAGGAAATTAATTTAGGACTAGGACTGAAATAACTGGTTGAATACAACACATTAAAAAACTGTTTAAGCATGCATTACTATATTTTATACTTTGATAAAGGAAAAATGATAGAAACTTGGTATAAAATCGTTAGAGAAGAACTGTAAATTATTTCCTGTTCTAATTTTAACGTAAACAAGAAATATGCCAGCTAGAAGTTTGAAATTATTGCCGGGAATATAAAGCATTTTACGATAATTTACGATATTCCTTAGTGTTCTGTCATGAGCCGAAATTGGTAAGTAGTTGTTCGTGACCCGACCCGAGCCTTCCGACCCGATATTCGGGTCGACTTATGGTCAGTGTGACACCTCTAGTAACCATAGCATATGTACAATATATGTACAGCTAGTACAGATGTACTATGTGTCTGGTTTGTTTCAATTAGCTTTACTATCATCATATGGGATGCATTCTAGAACTTTCAGATATCTATCTATGGCAGCTCACTGAACTGGTTAGAAATCTTTGAGTTTCCATGGTGATTTCATTATAGCGGCAGATAACAGGTGATTTTTCAAATTATTTTTACAATCATTTCCTTTACTGTTCCTGTCATTAGTCTTTCTCAGAAGACCCCAGACTATGCAACAACATGACTCTATAGAGGTTACTGACAGAGTTGCAGGTGAAACATAGAACAGTGCATCTGCTTCAAATGGGCCCCTTAGCCTTTTACAGATTATTCACATGGACATCTCAATAACCAAGATGCCAGTAAACAGTTACCAGATTCACCACCAGGTGGCTAATTCGGGTCAGATACCATGGCAGATATATAAGAAGGTTCCCTTGAACTTGAATATTCAGCAGTTCTAGCGGATCAATTTTCATATTACCCGGATGTATCTAATAGTTATACAAATGAAAAAAATATGTCCAGTAAAAAAAAATATTGTCTGTCCAATCAAAGAAAATATATTTCATTTTTGTGATTTTATCACATAGGTCTATGGGGTCTCCACGACCTTGAAATCAGATTTTCAAAGAAAATTTATGTCTTAAATATTTCAGTAAGCTTTCTCTGAATCAAAGTTATGTGTCTGAAGTATTTCAGTAAGCTTTCTCTGAATCAAAGTTATGTGTCTGAAATATTTCAGTAAGCTTTCTCTGAATCAAAGTTATGTGTCTGAAATGTTTCGCAGTAAAGTTTCTCTGAAGACCTTCAGACTATGACGTCAAAAGATCTGTAGAGATTACTGATTGAGTTAATGTGTGAAACATAGAACAATGCATCTCAATTTACAAGGTTCCAGTTGTGAAAACTCCTGCTTGATGCTGTAAATGTGGCACCAATCTTCTATGTCATTCTGTGTGTATCATGATTAACAAGTGTTGGGAAATTTGGGTTAAAAATGGGAATGAAAAGTGGGGTTGCTGTGGGAACATGCTAAAATGCTGGGACAGGCTTACAGTCCATGCAGGGTTACTTACTGCAGTGAATGTGTGTTTCACAAATGAATAATTTTCACCCTCCATGCAAACAATAGTGTGTAGAGCTTTCCATAAGATTCCATGGTGGATAATGATGTTTTGAAATCACAAATTTCCAAGAATATTTTCAAATTCTTTCAGTTCCTTATACCTACTATAAGATTGTCAAACAGTTGTGACAAAATGTCGAGATTGCCATAATAACTTAATTCAACACAATTCATCTCTAAATTTGAATGAAATAGTTAATGCCTGGGATTTCTATACAATTTAGAGTGTGAGCTACATGCCTGTGGGCTTTATTCCTTGATGATTTTATTATTTTTCTCTATATTTCATATTCAAAACCTGACCATCACTATAGGTAGTCTGTTTAGAATTCCCTTTTCTTATGATTGAAAATTAGCCACCATGAAATTTATGGAATGATCAGTGAAATCAAGATGCAACATTTTAATCATAATTATCTCTTAATATCAACAGATCACTCAGTTATTATAAATCTGGTTAACTTCAACTTATAGCGATTAAATATCAACTGAACAAGGTGGTAACAAAATGTGATCAAAGTGTGTCTGTGAATCTGAACAGATAATATACTTCCAGATATTTAAGCTTTTAAGTGGTATATTACCTGTCGTTAACTTCCTTTTGCCTTTTACGAACAGGTTCTTGGTTGCTATGGCCAGTTCTAACATAGTCATCGGCCATTTTGTTGATTTCCTCAATTCGGCCTTTATTTGCAGCCATGTCAGTGATGACATTCTGAAAGTTGAATATAAATGTGTATCTATTTCATCCATATATTTTCATTACTTGTAGTTTAGTTTTTGATTAGAGTAGCTCTTTAGTTGACTAATATATCATGCTTTAACTTAATAAAAGAAATATAAAGACCAGGCCCGCAGCCAGGATTTGCCAAGGGGGGGGTTCAGTTTTCAAAAGTTTCCAGGGTGGTTCACATTTGACAATTTTGGCCAAAATGTGGCTAATACCACTTGAGAAGTCCTCAAAATGGTGAAAAACTGCATGATTTTGAAGGAATTTTTGGCCAGAGCTACGGGCCTGAAAACATAAAAAACCTCTACTAAATGTATTTCTTCACTTGTAAACAAAGTTAAATATGATTTGTAATCTGGTTAAATCAATTTTGGTTTTTAGGCTAAATCCCTACCTCATATTTCCGTCTAATAGCATCAATGTTGCTAGACAAGCTGTCCTTACTCAGCAGAATTTGTTCCTGAAATAACATAAAACAATTTTTTACAATTTTATGAAATAATATGGAAGAAAGTCATGGTGGTATTTTTTACAATAGATTGGAAAAATTTCATCGACTATAAAGAACTTGAAGCGAGTAATTCAAATTTTAGCGCTAAGAGGAACTAAGTGATAATGATGGCTCAATCAGGAATTACCACATATAATTTTTTTACAAAAATTATGACTTATTTAATACCCCAAGGAGGGTCGGTTTCCGCAATTTATTTTTTGATATAATCGAAACAAGGACCAAATAATGGTTGACACCGTTAGATAATAAAACAAAGAATTAACATGCAAAATATCATCACCACCTGCCATTTGTTACAGATGCCGAACACTGACTATCAAACACCAACTGACAAGCACCACCCACAAAAAGTTAGAGATGATAACAATATGTCACCACTTGTGGTGGTGACATAAAAGTGACAAAATAACTGGTTGTAATTTCATAATGTCGAATTAAAATATCTGAACTAATCACTTCAAGATTGTTGTGAAATATTTAATCAGGTAATATTACTCATGATAAAATATCAAAGTGATAAAATTTCAGTAGTTTAATTTTGAAATCACGACAGGAACTGGAATATTTTCCAGGTATTTGCTAATCACATAAAAGACTTTAGATAAAATCAAGCTTCATGATTGGTTGATCATACTGAGCTTGAGACCATATAAGGAATAGCGTGTGCTCAAATTGTAATGATATTTGGAAGTGTAACACATTAAGCAGAAATGTTGTTTCCAATTTTATCAACGCCTACGTGTACCTGTAATTTTAGCCTCAAAATTACAATATGCCCATACGCTTCAACTCTGTAAATGCTACAATGTAAAATCACAGCCTAGTATTTGATTTGATAATATATCAAATAGTGATAATTATATGACTTTACGGCATAAATTTTGTTTAAATCTAATTCTGAACAAGTATGATCCTTATATTCTAACTCTTTGATCTATTATCAAATCAAAATCCTGTCTATTATTACCACCTTGCCGGGCCAGTTCTAGGGGTTTTAGTGCTAGCTTAGAAGGCGTTCATTTTACTATATCGACCTGAGAAATGTGTGACGTCATAGTGGTGGTCCATATGGACCGGTCTATAATATATTCTGGACCGGCAATTTTCCCTGGGAAATTAGATATCGTTCAATGCGTAAGATTTTCTTGCTGTTTCAGTCCTGGTCGTTAACGGTGGTAATAATACTAATAACGTCATTTCTGCGAGCAAATTGAAATGACGTTGTTGTACTATTAGTGTAGAAATGGTCTTCCTGGCACAGTTTACGGTCGACCTGCGTCATGTGCCTACCTTGTTATTTTACATGTAATTAAAACATGGAAATAAATAGAAATAACATAACATCTGACAGCTAAAGAGTGAAAGTAACCTGACATATTGCGTGATATTGGGATAATGCCAATATGTTTATTGGTAAATTACAGTATTTAATAACAATACATCTATAGAATATGGTGTTATTATTACAAATCTAAAGCGCTTAATAAATTAATACACACAAAAGTTCCTATTTAGGCCTGTCATTTCAAATGAAACACGCCAATGCCACATTAGCATGATTAGTTCAAGGCTTGCATCACATGAACTTATCAACTCATATAGTCGCAGTGTTATGTAATAAAGCGAGATGGAATTCTATTGTTCATTTCAATTAAGGTTCAACATGTACTTTAAAAGACTCTCTCAAAGTATATGCTTTACAAGAATGATATTATGAGGTTATATAATGGTTGATACTCAAGTGAATATATCATATACTCACAGGAGTATAACGATATACAGAATCAACCATTATATGATCTTATTATCCCACCCTTATCTTTAATCAATAAAAGGTTAATCTAAATTCAGCAGTTGTACATCAAGTCGAAGAGGTTGTATATATGATAGTTTTATGTCATAATATTTCCCTCTTTTTCTCTCTAAATTGAATGAACTGTCTAATGTTCTTATACTTCTTTATAATTTAGAATGTTCCTGCCACTCATATATCTGTTTATATGTAATATTTTTCAATTTACAACTGACCAAATCGTTTCCAATGCCCTCTCAAATTTTAATAATGAATGGAGATTTCTCAAATATTTTTTCATAGACAAGTCAGGAAAAATTATAATCTAAACACATTTGTGATGAACAACATTTTTTTAATTTCCAGGGCATTAATATCAATTGAAATCTTTGAGAATATTCTGGTATTAGGAATAAAGGTTTCTTGGAATACTTTTTTAACTTGACATTTTAGAACAACCATTCTTGCTGAAACTTTCATACAATTAAAAGTTCTTACAGTAAAAAAAAAACATTCTGAGTTTTGTGAAGTGCCAATCAATATTCCAGACATATTATATGAGCAACTGTCTGTTTACATCATTCCTTGCTAATTCCACTCCTTTCCACTCTATTTTGGGTTTTAAAACATGACAACCTCGAAATTTTGCTTTCAGGTAGGTGTTCTCTACTAATTGGCATCAAGTAGGAATTGATCTTCTCGATTACGCTTAATAAAATACTGTAGATTAAAATATCAGGCACCTTAATTAATCAAATCCATATTTTATATCTTAACCTGTTCATTTTCCCATCTTGAATTACCAAGATATGAATTTTTCATATTTGATTGAAAATCAAACTGGTTTTGGCAGTATGCATTTTCTGGCATTTTGAGTGAGTCTGCCTACTTCAGGCCCATAGACGGCTTTTGCGAAGGGGGTTTACTTTTTAAAAATTCTGACGGGTCCTTTTTGACAACTTTGGTCCAAAAATGGCCAAAATCACATGAACAGGCTCAAAATTGTGAAAAAACTACATTTTGAATTAAATGAATTTCTAGCCCCTGGCTATGGGCCTGACTATGTATATAGTTTTCATTGAAAATCAAACTGGTAAGTGACTAGGCATTTTCTGGCATGTTGAGTGTGTCTGCCTACTTAATTCCTCAGAGGTTTGACACTTTGTAATAGTTTATTATTCTAAGAGGTATTTGCTGTCATATTTTATGCAAGATTACTGATCAGACACTTTAGCACAATCGTCCTTGCAATTCTAATTATGAGGGCCAAAATTAGTATTTTCATTGATTGTTTTATGCACCCTTCAGTCTGCATAGGTTGAGATATGTTACGAAATCTCCAAATTATATCAAAACGAAAGAAAAATATGAAACCTATGACAGCCTTTTCTGCACTCCTCCTTTTCACAATTTTTCCTCATATTTACTTCACACCTTTTTGGGCCATCCTGTGGTTCAACGACCCCCTCTCGCAAAATATCTTTCCAAGAACATATGAGAGTCAATAAAAGATATATGTATCGGTGTTCAATAAACCCCATTGATAAATATCTATGCATCAAGTTTCAGTGTGATTTTATAAAAATGAGAAATGTTTATCAGATAGGAGCTACCCTGTTATGTGCCATCAGTCTCCAAAATACTCCAAATCATTTTTCCTCACATTTATGCAATATCTTTTTGGCTCACCCTGTGGTTCAACAACCCCCTCGGAATATCTTTCTTAGAGCACTATTTCTAGGAATTGTTTACTTTCGTATTGTGAATCAAGAGCGGATATTTAGGAAGTCTATTCCGTTATTAGCTTATTTTGAGATTATCAGAAGCCTATTCTAGTGAAAGGAAATCTTCAGAGCTCAATGACAATATCACAACAGGGAAGGGCGTTGACATTTAAAGACAAGATAATCAATTGTCAACGATAAAAGAATTGAATGGAGTACAATGTTACAGTAAAAATCCCAATAGATATTAGCTGTTTGTATTTAGCATTTTCACTTAACGAAAGGTTAATGAATGTAAGAAAATATACTTTTGAGTTGTATGATTTATATGAATCAGAGATCTCCCTAGCAATAATGCATTAAATGCAAGTTGGCGCAGCACACAACTAAGATTCTAATAAAACAGGCTTGCACCCACCTAAAAATCCATATGCACCCACTTCAAAATGAAAAAAAAATCATGAAAAATGGGTACATTTTGACCAATTTCGGTCTGAATTGTGAAAATGAGAATTTTGCACCCACTTGAGAAAAAATCCTGCGGAGAATGCTGTGAATGATTGAATATTAAAATTATTAAAAAGAAATCATTGACAAAATTTTTAAGGAATAGAATTGCAGACAAGATCAACTGAATTAAAATTTCTACAATTAAAATCCAATACGGCAATAGATATTTGCTATTCAGAAGACAAAAGCAATCAGTAATTGTCTGTATATGATAAAGTTATCCAATCTATCTGGATAGCTTTTAATTACTTGAATCAATTGCTCGTTCAACCTTTTCACAGGTATTCTTAACATTATTTCAAAGAAAAATGAATAGATTTTCATTAAATATTAACAATAACAATAATCATAATATAATACATATTTGTATAATTACTATATATAAATTGAAATATACCTCATATTGAATTGCAAAGAGGCTCAGTCAAAATGTTCACCTTGATACAAGAATTCATATTGATTTAGAGATCTCTTTAAAATACAGCTTTGTTATACTCAATCCAATTATGCACCAGGCCCGTAGGGGGGCTCAACCCCCCCCTCACCCACCCAAAAATTCTTTAAAAATGATGCAGTGTTTCACCATTCTAAGCACTTAGTGATTTTGGTCCATTTTGGACCAAAGTTGTCAAAAGTGAACCCCCTTGAATTTTTCAAAAAGTGACCCCCCCCCTTTGCAAATCCTGGCTACGGGCAGTGCATTATTGTCTTTTCTAATATGATAAATGACAGTACAATAAGTAGAACAATTGATTTACTGGTCTATAATAGGGGTCGATGACCACGAAATTTCATAAATGCACATACTTCTTTTGCCCATCAAAGACCTCGGTCGCTATAAAATTTTGGTCTTCAAAAATAATCAGAAAAAATCATTGGTCATGTATTGCACCATAAATCATAGAATCTCAGTCTTTATT